TAGAATAGTACTGTAAGTAGATGGGCACCCCGAGATATATCACAGTATCGGTATCTAGAATAGTACTGTTAGTGGATGGTCACCCCGAGAGATATCACAGTATCAGTATATAGAATAGTACTGTTAGTAGATGGTCACCCCGAGATATATCACAGTATCGGTATCCAGAATAGTACTGTTAGTGGATGGTCACCCCGAGATGTATCACAGTATCAGTATATAGAATAGTACTGTAAGTGGATGGTCGCCCCGAGATATATCACAGTATCGGTATCTAGAATAGTACTGTAAGTGGATGGTCACCCAGAGATATATCACTGTATCGGTATATGGAATAGTACTGTTAGTGGATGGGCATCCCGAGATATATCACAGTATCGGTATCTAAAATAGTGCTGTTAGTTGATGGTCACCCCGAGATATATCACAGTATCAGTATATAGAATAGTACGGTAAGTGGATGGTCACCCCGAGATGTATCACAGTATCACTATATAGAATAGTACTGTAAGTAGATGGTCACCCCGAGATATATCACAGTATCCCTATATAGAATATTACTGTTAGTGGATGGTCACCCCGAGATATAGCACTGTATCGGTATATAGAATAGTACTGTTAGTGGATGGTCGCCCCGAGATATATCACAGTATCGGTATATAGAATAGTACTGTAAGTAGATGGTCATCCCGAGATATATCACAGTATCGGTATATAGAATAGTACTGTAAGTAGATGGTCACCACGAGATATATCACAGTATCGGTATATAGAATAGTACTGTAAGTAGATGGTCATCCCGAGATATATCACAGTATCAGTATATAGTATAGTACTGGTAGTGGATGGTCACCCCGAGATATATCGCATGATCAGTATATAGAATAGGACCGTTAGTGTATGGCCAACCCGAGATATATCACTGTATCAGTATATAGAATAGTACTGTTAGAGGATGGTCATCCCGAGATATATCGCAGTATCAGTATATAGAATAGTACTGTTGGTGGATGGTCACCCCGAGATATATCATAGTATCAGTATATAGAATAGTACTGTTAGTTGATGGTCACCCCGAGATATATCACAGTATCGGTATAAAGAATAGTACTGTAAGTAGATGGTCACCACGAGATATATCACAGTATCGGTATATAGTATAGGACTGTTAGTGGATGGTCACCCCGAGATATATCGCAGTATCAGTATATAGAATAGAACTGTAAATGGATGGTCACCCCGAGATATATCACAGTATCAGCATATAGAATAGTACTGTTAGTGGATGGTCATCCCGAGATATATCACAGTATCAGTATATATAATAGTACGGTAAGTGGATGGTCACCCCGAGATGGATCACAGTATCACTATATAGAATAGTACTGTAAGTAGATGGTCATCCCGAGATATATCACAGTATCAGTATATAGAATAGTAGTGTTAGTGGATGGTCACCCCGAGATATAACACAGTATCAGTATATAGAATAGTACTGGTAGTGGATGGTCACCCCGAGATATATCGCAGTATCAGTATATAGAATAGTACTGTAAGTGGATGGTCACCCCGAGATGTATCACAGTATATATCACAGTATCAGTATATAGAATAGTACGGTAAGGGGATGGTCACCCCGAGATGTATCACAGTATATATCACAGTATCAGTATATAGAATAGTACTGTAAATGGATGGTAACCCCGAGATATATCACAGTATCAGTAAATAGAATAGTACTGTTAGTGGATGGTCACCCCGAGATATATCGCAGTATCGGTTATGTCTGCATCATACAGGAAGAAATGCCGAGTGTCGTAGACAAACTGCATGTTCGTGGCAGATCGAGACAGCGAAGACAATACCTGTCTCAATCAGTCCCTATTGTACACCAACTTACAGACGACTATCTTAATCAAACGAGCAAAACTCTGTCGAATTGGCTGATGCAGGTGACACGTAGGTCAAATAAAACGTGGATGACGTAGCGAAATCAGTTCGATGGCGTCATTTCCAAGGTCAACTGAAGACCAACCGGAAGTTCTCCCCTGTTGTTACCAGCCACGTCAATCAATAACACTACTCGGTAGGACTTCTCCGTCATGGCTGTTACCATCATGGTCGTTTGTAGAGATAATATCATTAATAAAGTCTAACTGACTAAAAGATTAGACTCAATTTTTCTAACCGAAACGTATTTGATGTAATTACCAAAGGGATTGGTCAAGAAACACCTCCCCTATAGCTACACAAAACATAAACGAAACCTATCACGATGAGGTACCCGATGTTAGTCTCAATAATCTAATAGATGAACATTACAATTATCGCCAAGTAGACGAGATTAAGACATGATTAGACTGGGAAGGAGTAGGAAAATGGTGAGCTAGAAAGTGCAAGGTATTTTTATTTTTTTTAATTCGGATAGTTGGTTTCTTCTTATATGTCTTGCAACACCTGAAGCCCAGGTTTTGTAAAGCCTCAAGATGAAAGCTCTGCAATGGCACCAAGCATGTGTCCAAACATGTGATCTCTCACCACCAGACAACCCACACTGAGGTACAAATGCTATGTCCCCACACCAAACATGTGACCTGCCCCCTGTACCACCATGTCAATATTACAATCCTTCTGATTCGCCGCACATACTCAACAGGAATCGTAATGTTTTATTTAATTCAATGCTAGAGGGTTGTTGTCTGGAACTGTGTTGTTTGGGAGTCGCCAGGTGACTTAGTCAATAAGTATGCTCAAACCTCACGTTATCCTCGTGATCTTGTCCCGTGTGATCTGTGTTAGATATACGCTTGAGACAGGAAGTCACAGACCGGAAGTATTGTTGGATAAAGCATTAGATAGGGGCTTAGCTATTAGAGCTAAATTCTTTCGCGCATTGTTGCATCAGATTGTACAATTTTCCTGTTCCAACTAATGCCTTCCCTTTCAAGTGAAGTCTTTGACTTATAAAAGTTGTAGTGCAAGCTCTCCAGTGAAGCCCAACAACGGCTTAACGGATACTGTTTATCTTTAAACACATCACACTCTTTCCATTTTGTTAAAATTGTTTTCTTTTCTGTTTGTGTGATATGCTCGTACTTTCGGTGACGTATACATCAGTGAAATGAGTTGTCATAGTAACTACGGAAAGTCAATACCTAAGTTTGAGAAGTGTTGATGACCAGATACCATCGCAGCCCTAATGATGATGTAGGCAGTGTTCTTGACTTCGAATTTATTGGATAACAAATCAGAGGCACTGTTAGAATAATGAGAAAATTGATGTCTATCTTAAAACATTATCTGTATGATAAGGACTTCATAGTGCTTGAGAGAACCCTAAGGAAAAGGTAAGAAAATCATTGAAGGACATTTCTTGCATATTTTGCTGTGACCATTTTATATGAAATAGGGTGTAAGGCGTACTAACGTACGGTCTGCGTTAAGCGATAACACTCGATAACGTTTACGTACATTTGTATGCGTGTTTCACACTGAGGGGGATTTTTCCTAGCTTTGTCAATCACGGGAATGCATCGTCACGTTGAAAAATGATGGTCTTACATTGGTCATTTGTTGTATATAACCAATTACGGCGGTAAGTGTTGTTTGATCATTGATGGGTGTATTGATAGTTGATGGATACGAGGGAAAAACCCTAAAACGACTGCCCCAACATCTTGAGATTTTAAACGTTACTCTTGTAAAAATACCCCCCCCCCCCCTTTGAACCAGCATTGTCCTTGCACCTGGTGATGTACTGATATATGTTTCCGCCGATGTCCGACCTGGAATATTCCCCGCTATCGCCGATGTCCGACCTGGAATATTCCCGCTATCACAGGCCCGCGTGTGGCCAACCGATATTTTATGACCGTGCCAGCATTGCTGGGGTGGAGTTGACACAAGCAATAAGAAAAACTTCAGTGATCTGTTCGAAAAAGAAACGTAAAAATACAAATTAAACACGTGCGAAATTAGAAGATCCGACGTTAAAGTCCGAGAGATTAATTTAGTAACAGACGTTGTACCCAGATGGCACGATTCATCAACACCCGCCAAGTGTCACGAGGGCGTTGCTGTCATGTGCACGTCAGTATTGCACGTGGAAAAAGAGGCACGTGTAGAAAGATGCGGTAGAAACTATGCGAGCCTGCAATGTTAAAATAGATTTTGCAGTCTATTTGCAGATACAGTACTAAAGTACAACAGTGTTCGCTGTGTCATTAACCAGCCTTTATCGCTGTACTAGCAAATAATACAATAGGCTTTAGTTTGATAATAAACTAAACGTCTTAGTTCCCAACCTACATGGACGAATGCAGGATGAATTTGTGAGTATATATAGATAATTTACTATTTGACAGCCGTCAGCCTTGTGCCAAACTTTTAACACGAATGATCCTCCCCCTTGGAGAAGCCAACATCGTGTTGTACCAATAACACACACTTGGCATACATCAGACTGTGGCCAAGTTCTCGGTAAGAATCGTTAGTAACTCCCGACTGACAACTCTTTCCTCCCGACTGACAACTCTTTCCTCCGGAGTGACCTCCAGAGTAACATCTCTCCCTCCAGACTTCCATTATTTTGTAATGATTCAAAATTAGGGTATTTCGCTTTGCTTGTTGATTCCAATCTTGGTGTTTTGCCCGGCTGTAAGTTATGAGGTGTATTTGGTAGTGTAAACAGGCGCTGCTGTATGCTGGTTCGGCTGATGTGGGTCACTGACTAGTGAGGTCATACAGCAACACATACACGCTAAATATACACCCTACACATATCTACTACATGTTTACTACTGGTTCTGGCACATTGAGTTTCTGACACTGGTTTTCGCAACGCCTTCTTCAACCAGCCAATGACAAAGAAACTCAGTTCAACTGACATGTGCACGTCACTTAGTTTTGTGACATATATGGGTAAAAGTATGAATCGAGCTACATTGGGGGCGGGGCTTTTGAAGCGGCGTCGCAGTACTTGCGGAAAACATCCTGTTTTTAGTGGCTAAATTGACCTACACATTCCAAAGCCGGTGAGGACGTAATCGGCGGGCGGCTATAAATTACTGTGTACGGATATGAGATGCCAATATTTGAATAGTTGTGAACCCAGATTGATCGTGGTGAGAACGAAAGCTAGTTTCTACTATTAACCAGCCACCACAGTGCGTTACTGTATGCTACACGTGTTGTGTGTGATATCAATATGAAGCCGACTGTTAGTAATTCTTACTCGGGACTTTGTTTATTGTTGGTAAGTTCTATTTCTTATCTCTATTTAAAATCAATTTGTGATTATATCTTTGCTATTGTCATGTCACTTTGCAATTCTATGTTTTCTTATACATACTGTCAATACCAGTATTGCTTCAATAGATATTTCCTAGTGTCGTTACATTATTCTGAAGACAGCGTATAGGGACGACCGTTAAATGATACAGGTACTGAATACAGATTAGAATGCCGTGACATTTATTTCATTCAATAGGAGGAATACATTTATTGTTAAATCTAGTTAATGTATATTTAAGTTCGGCGTTTAAAGAGATGATATGGTTAACGATGTGTTTGTGTAGGATCATCTTGTATACCGTCCCTGAGCCCTCGGTAACCCGCACCACATCACACTCTCTATATTTATACACTCTGTATTCAAAAATAATTATATGGGAATACCTGTGTATCGGTCACACGAAGACAGGTGAGAACTCCGCGCGTGATGCAATGCTACAGTGACTCTGCACATTCAATACATCAACAATAAAAGGCCACCACTCAACGGTTATTCATTAGCCGATTAGGCTCTTAGCTGTCATTAAAATCGCTACCAAACAGATAATGTTGATGGGCTGTTTTATCAGCGCTTGTGTAATAAACGTGTGATGTATTTGCCCTATACACCGAACAGGGTTCGCATTTCAACCGTATGCATTCACTTTTACTGAAGATAGTTCACCAATCAGATAAGCTATACTGTCGGTATTAGGGGCCCCTGTCCCTTATTGTTAGCTGTAGAGGTATTTTGTAAATTACATGACCTAGTTACGTCACATGAGGTACAGACACTGGCAGTGGTGTCATTGTGCTGTAACTAGACATCAACGTGTTACTATGCAGCTTCTCCACAAATGACCTTGACCGCATAGTTCTTTAAAATAACGGAAATTGCGATTTTGAAAATAGAATCTCATAAAACTATGTATTTCTGCTATAGATTTGTGCGACGTATTTGAGTTTTCTAGGTTATTAATGGCTATGAACATTAGACACGATATACTTAAATATTTCCTATTTTCTTTGGACAGACGGTCCTGTACCCGGTATATTCCTCTGCCATTGTTCTCAGTCTGCCTGGCCGTGGATCTATGGCATGGAAACACTTTACGCTGAAGTGTGGTCTCCACTGTCCGTACGGTTACGATACTGACGTAGAAGGGGGACCAATTTGTAAATGTCAGAACCCGTGCAGGGTAAGTACAACAAAATATCTTATATAGTGTTGTTCCTTTGGGGTGCTGTGAGAACTATTGGCAGACATTTCAAGACTTTATAAAGTTGTCAGAGAAAGGTTGTGGGCATTGTAATATTGTCTGAGGTAGGTTGTGGGCATCGTTATATTGTCTGAGATAGGTTGTGGGCATCGTTATATTGTCTGAGGTAGGTTGTGATCATTATTATATTGTCTGAGGTAGGTTGTGGGCAGTTTTATATTGTCCGAGGTAGGTTGAAGGCATCGTTATATTGTCTGAGGTAGGTTGTGGACATCGTTATATTGTCTGAGGTAGGTTGTGATCATTGTTATATTGTCTGAGGTAGGGTGTGGGCATTGTAATATTGTCCGAGGTAGGTTGTAGGCATCGTTATATTGTCTGAGGTAGGTTGTTGGCATCGTTATATTGTCTGAGGTAGGTAGTGACCATTGTTATATTGTCTGAGGTAGGGTGTGGCCATTGTGATATTGTCTGAGGTAGGGTGTGGGCATTGTATTATTGTCTGAGGTAGGTTGTGGGCATCGTTATATTGTCCGAGGTAGGTTGTAGGCATCGTTATATTGTCTGAGGTAGGTTGTTGACATCATTATATTGTCTGAGGTAGATTGTGGACATCGTTATATTGTCTGATTTAGATTGTGGGCATTGTTATATTGTCTGATTTAGATTGTGGGCATTGTTATATTGTCTGAGGTAGGTTGTTGGCATCGTTATATTGTCTGAGGTAGATTGTGGGCATCGTTATGTTGTCTGAGGTAGGTTGTGGGCATCGTTATGTTGTCTGAGGTAGGGTGTTGGCATTGTAATATTGTAAATTGTGGGCATTGTAATATTGTCTGAGATAGGTTGTGAGAATCGTTATATTGTCCGAGGTAGGTTTTGGGCATCGTTATATTGTCTGAGGTAGGTTGTGGACATCGTTATATTGTCTGAGGTAGATTGTTGGCATTGTAATAAAGTCTGAGATAGGTTGTGAGCATCGTTATATTGTCTGAAGTAGGTTGTGGGCATTGTAATATTGTCTGAGGTAGGTTGTCGGCATTGTGATATTGTCTGAGGTAGGTTGAGGGCACTGTAATATTGTCTGAGGTAGATTGTGGTCATTGTGATATTGTCTGAGATAGGTTGTGGACATTGTGATATTGTCTAAGGTAGGTTGTGGACATTGTGATATTGTCTGAGATAGGTTGTGGACATTGTGATATTGTCTAAGGTAGGTTGTGGACATTGTGATATTGTCTGAGGTAGGTTTTGGGCATCGTTATATTGTCTGAGGTAGATTCTGGGCATCGTTATATTGTCTGAGGTCGGTTGTGGACATCGTTATGTTGTCTGAGGTAGGTTGTGGGCATCGTTATATTGTCTGAGGTAGGTTTTGGGCATCGTTATATTGTCTGATGTAGGTTGTGGGCATCGTTATATTGTCTGAGGTAGATTCTGGGCATCGTTATATTGTCTGAGGTAGGTTGTGGACATTGTAATATTGTCCAAGGTAGGTTGTGGACATTGTGATATTGTCTGAGATAGGTTGTGGACATTGTAATATTGTCCGAGTTAGGTTGTGGACATCGTAATATTGTCCGAGGTAGGTTGTCGACATTGTTATATTGTCTGTGGTAGGTTGTGGACATCGTTATATTGTCTGAGGTAGGTTGTGGTCATCGTTATATTGTCTGAGGTAGGTTGTGGACATCGTTATATTGTCTGAGGTAGATTGTGGGCATCGTTATATTGTCTGAGGTAGGTTTTGGGCATCGTTATATTGTCTGAGATAGGTTGTGGGCATCGTTATATTGTCTGAGGTAGGTTGTGGACATTGTAATATTGTCCGAGGTAGGTTGTGGACATTGTAATATTGTCTGAGATAGGTTTTTGAGGAACGTTGTCAGTATTGTTATATTTTCTGAAGTAATGTTGTCGACAATTGTAATGCTGACCAGGGATAGGTTTGGACATTGAAGTATTGATGGCGTTAGGCTGAATGACTGGAACAGTCTGTGATAGACGTAACGCGTGGGCAACTGTCGCTTCTAAACGTTTCTCTTCTCACCAAAAGGCTAAGCTCAATAATCCGAGTTTCTTTAATTTCGCAGAAACCACGTTGTGACATGACGATTAAACTGGGATAAAAAGCCGTGATGATATTTTGTTCTGACACAATTTTGAAAAGATCTTTACTGAAACATATGAAACAGATGATTCTAAGTTTGGGCACAGATGTTCTTTTCACGTAAAATCTTTTGGTATTATCTAGATAACAGTCTCGGTCAAAGAGGATATGAATCTCATATGTCAAAAACGAAACTCTCGTGAAGTGCAGTTTGGTACTGAACGTATGATTTCGTCATTTCACTGTCCCGAGTACATCTTGTGTTTGAAACGAGAGATTCTGAACGAGCAACTTTGATAGATAAGATGTTAGAGATATTCTAGCAGGGGTTCTCAAACGGAAAATGATTCCCATGTCTTTGCTGCGCACTATGGAAAACCCAACAGCACACTCGATGAGTGGGTGGGAGATGAACAAAAATGGTTAACGGAGTTTCAAAGTGATCTCTAAAATAGTTTATCAATGGCGCTTTGTGATTGCTAGAACAACAGAATAGCTGCTAAAACCTGGCTACGGTGATGTAAACCAGACACTCGGCGGATAGCGTGTTGGTGAGAAAACATAACTCTCCTCAAGGCCGCGTGCACGGAAAGGCAAGCGGTTACGTTGTTGTTTACAATAGCGATAAGGTTCTAAAGCAGAATTGTCGAAAGAAAAGGCAGACTGAGGAAAGCTTCAATGAAGTAATGCGTTAGTCACTGTAACCAAAAATGTTCCAAAACAACCTGTGTTCAATCAAAAGGCAGGCCGATTGTGTATGTACCGCTTTAGACTTGATTTTGGAGTAGTGACTAGTACAAAGTGACAGCCAGTTATTTCGGGTGATACTTTCTATCAAAGTTTTCAAAGGTTTTTTTAATGGCAGACAGTGAAATTGAAGACACGTGTGTGTATTATATATAGATCAAGGGCCGCTTCGAAGTTTGTTTCGTGAACGTTACGTAGCCTATACGGTGTCGTTATAGCTAATGTGTATCCCCGGGATAGATTTAAAGGTACCTCTCATATATATTTCAGTCCTTAAGTTTATTAGTACCACGATTTAATGAACGATTGTCGCTTGTATCGTAAAGATGAGCCGCTGCACCTGCGCCGTGACCATTGCAGATCTGGTATGCACATAGTGGTTTTGTGTTTAGGCTTTCGGTTCTTTAACCCCCATAACCATTACGTGTATAGGGTGATTACACCTGATGTAACCTAGGTTTTCCTACTCGATAACACACACCTGTTTGGACATCCTCACCAGCCCAAGTCTACTCAAGTAATTGAAAAAGTAGTGTTTCGACGGTCGGTAGGTAAGGAGGTAGTACGTATACTAGAGCTGGACAATGGAAGGTATTCAGGACCCCCTCTCTCGTTTCACACCGTATGATTTTATAATGGTATAATTATTACCTGTATCTACCTTGTAATGGCCAAATTGATTGTCTTCTGTCACGAGAGCTCAGGTGTGCTGTACACGAGACAGGTATTTAGTGCTACCAAATGTTTATGGATATTTCACCTGTCGAGGAAGGTAGCATTCATGCAATACACATTGACTTGTCACAGACTTGTGGTGATGGACGGCAGTCATTATCATATCAGGCGCGGATCCAGGGTTTTGTGAATGGGGAGGGTTTAGAGGGCGATACCCCCCCCCCCTACACACACACACCCGTGACTTCGCAAAACGGAGGTGGGGTTCCCGCCCGACCCCTTACCAACCCCAACCTTGGATTCGACAATGTAAGAATAGATTGACGAATAGTTCTATAATTGATGGTATGTGTTATCTTGCGGGACATTAAACGATATGATATTATTGAGAGTGATTGTTTGATACCACTAAAGAGTTCCCCACATTCCCGGGGTTCGGGGATACATACACAGTATACCCCTGGGTCGGGGATACATACACAGTATACCCCTGGGTCGGGGATACATACACAGTATACCCCTGGGTCGGGGATACATACACAGTATACCCCTGGGTCGGGGATACATACACAGTATACCCCTGGGTCGGGGATACATACACAGTATACCCCTGGGTCGGGGATACATACACAGTATACCCCTGGGTCGGGGATACATACACAGTATACCCCTGGGTCGGGGATACATACACAGTATACCCCTGGGTCGGGGAAATGGACATAGCATTCTTCATGGTCGGGGAAGTGGACACAGCATACTTACATTACATCCGGGGACTAGGGATGTCAACACAGAATCCCTCTAGATTCGGGATACTGACACAGCCTAACCGAACTTTGCCCGTGGGTCTGGGACACAAATACTGGGGACCGGGATACGTTCACCAATGAAATGTTGTCTTTTTACAAAAACTGTATCGATCTAGATGACACTCACCAGGTGGTATGCAAGTGCACCGATTTGAACCCATTATGGTGCCCATTATGTGATATACATGTGTACTAATAATTTATTTATATAAGAACATAGCGGTTATGTGGAAGCCGGAATGTCAAAAACAGGAACCGTTGTGTATACCTGTATTGCGGCGTCGTATGTTTACCGTAAAACGGCTATATATGTCAAAACCCGTTCGTTATCGGGACCCGGCCTACTGTAAATAAGCTTGACACATCTTTAATCCTGTATTATTTCACTCCGTCCCTTATGTGCATACATTGTCATGTGTTGTTGACCTCGCCTTGTTGCGCGGAGGGTTTTTGACCTTTACTTTTTCAGGCGTTTTTACGTCTTAGTTTCTCCGTGTTTTGTAGAGATGCCTGTGTTGACTTTACTAATGGTCCGCCGTTTACTAAGTGCCAACTGTCTTGATCGACACTCCGTAACCGCCTGACCGCTGCATGCAATCTTTTCGCTCAATAATATTTATTACAAACCAATTTCCAACTGACACAGAGCCCTGTCAGGAGTTTTGTTCTGGGTGTTATAGGGCTCTCCTCGTAACCGATACGTGGTATTGGCTGACTGGAGCCGAGTGGCAAGACGGACATGTCTAAGACAAATCCAATCAGAGCGTGTGCTCGTTCGATCGCAGTTACAGTCCTGCCTTTTACTGCCGTGTCAGCATGGAATTGAATCTGTATTTGACAGGTGTCGGGGTTCACGTACATTTCTCTCTTTCAGAACGTCTTCTGCTTTGATGGAACTGTCTGTGTCATCAAGAAAGCAAAGAACTGCAGAGGAGGATTCTGTAGCCACAAGGCTGCTTGTAAAGGTAAGGAGAAGTACTGTCGACCCCTTCGTGGTACCTATGACGTCACACAGATGCCCGTCAGCTGCAGTGTAACAGCCAGACTGTTTACTATTAATTAATAGCCCGGAAGTTTGAGCATTTATTCTCCTCTCATAGAAACACATCACTTATGTAACATATACATGGCAGGTTACACCTCGTAAATGGTCCGTGAGGCTACCGGCACATTTGAGTAATGGGAGAGTCTTTACTGTTTACAATGCAAAAAATGTCAGATACATGTATGTGCAGAATGTGGGGAATTATGGTCGTGGAAGTCTATTTATAATAAATGTGTTCTCCTTACATATTCTATTAGATTCTATTACATTCCCAGGTGGGAACCCGTAAAGCAAGTTATATAAACAAATTCTAATATAATCGCAAATCTGCATTCTATTATTGTCAATGCATTCATAATTCTATATTTTTTTTACAGATGCAAAATCTACCACAAGCGATGTTTCTATCCCTATGGGGCACAACAGGGGACCTCCCGCTCTCACGAACGAGGCATTTGATATAGCCAACACTCTTCAGCAAGACTCCAGTACGACTATCAGCGGTACCAGCCCTGTTGACGTCACAGAAATATGCATAGATCAACCGCCACCGGAAGCATGGAAATGTGACCGGAAGGAGAAGAGGTACTATTTCAACAGTAACAAGGGGATGTGTCTGAGGTTCAGAGGATGCCAAACTGTAGGAAACAATTTCAGGCGTCGAAGAGACTGCAAGAGGACGTGTATTTCATCAAAATCCAAAAAAGGTAGCCTTTTATGCTTCGAGTTCCATAAGCAATTGATATTTCTATAACAGGCAAGTTTGTCAATAACCTCTTGTTAATACTTAAAAGAAATAGTTGTCGTCAGGTGAAGGGTCCCCGGGCTTTGTGTCCACGTTGTATCTAATTTGGTTGGCATTTTTCTGATATTTGAGATATTTTCCCATAAAATGTGAAAGAAATATATTTATCATAATTTCTTGACCCAGTTTCGAGGATCGAACGTCGGAGCTCTTAAAAAAGCAGGTAGCTTAACTAAAAAGGTAAAGACCTGTAACAGTGTTTGGGACAGTCTACCTTAATCTAAACTACATGTACATCGGGGCTACGCTCACTCACGCTCTCTGCACAGAACATTAGTGAGCTAGTACATACAATTATTTGGCAAACTATTGAATCATTGAACAAAACAGCTTAATCTACACAGAAATGTCCGACTGATTTTCACAGTCGTATAATAGCATTGACAATGATGTCCGACCGTGATTTAGTCAAGGTAACATGTCGCACCAATGTGAGAGGTGGAACCTGATCAACTGACTTGTCACTAAAACGGAGGCCTTAGATACAGGGGCGCTCCTTTTGTGTGAGATTATGTGCCATGTCATCCTCTAATTCTCGATAACAGGAGTTTGTGTTGTGGGGCTATTTTGTGGACAATTTCTGGCCACAACAAGCGTGACCGCCATGGCTGAAAGTGTGTGGCGCAGTCAGTCGTGTCCGCCCAATCACTGATCGTAATGTCCTGTTTATTATCATTGCCAGTTCGTGTTTATCTGTCTCTCAGATTCAATGCAGCAAATGTGCTCATGTGTAACCAACTTAAATGACACAGTAACAACATTAAAAAACCGCTTAATCACCTGGTATGAAAAGCACGCCAAACATCTCTGTTTTCTCTCACAATACGATGACTGGGCACATCCTACGCGACAATCAGCGCCAACATTTAATACACGAAAAACAAAAACATTGTAAGTATTTTAACATATATTCAAACGCGCCACAGGAAGCTCACAGCTTTCAATCGGCGTCATCGCTATATGAACTCTATGAATTGAAATCAACGTACGGTACGACACAAACATGTAATTCATTTTTTCGTCAATGGAATGTGTTTTCTTCGAGGAGAGGTAAAGTACATTATCCAGCACGCTGTCCTTGATTGGGCATAGCTGATCACCACCTGTCAGGGTAATAGAATTCCTGTTCGCAGGGGCACTGCGGTTCATCCACGGGCAGATATTAATTACCGTCTCCGCGTCGTAACGCCTCCGTATTACAGTATTATAAAATAGCTTTATATAGGTGCACAAGGTAATAACATGTCATATATAGCCAGGTATTGACGGGGATAGCATGCACAAGTCAACCATATACCACAGCTGTTTTGTCAATAACTTCATGGCTTGGTTTGTGGTACGGGATCGCGAAACTAATATAATATCATTCTGTCCGACTGGGGCACACAGTGTCAAAAATGTGACATAAGTGGCCTCGCTAATACGGGTACAACCCCCTTCCCATTAACCCCTCCCAATACTCACTACGTTAATACAATCAACAATACTACACTATGAAGAGTGGGGCAATTTATTGAACCCTCGTTAACGCAGTCTTATTTAGTCTTGCATTTGTTGGTAAATTGCATACGTTTTGGAAATTTTAATATTTCTTAATTTCCTTGATGTGGGCTCTTCTTTGCAATTTAGTTCCTATGCAATTATTAAAGCACAATGGAGAATCATAATGAATTAAACTAAAGGTATATTAGAGGCGTGCTTTTGTATTTAGATAAACCAATATGCATGCTATTATTGTAGAACGAATCATGTAAGATTACAGACAATAACAGCGTCAATCTCCTGTGTTTTGTAGGAAGCCTGGCCTACCTGAATCGCATGCCATCCAGAGAGACCAGTAACGAGACCAACATATGTCTCCTTGCCCTAGACGACCCCTCTCGATGCAGAGATAGGACCGTGATGAGGTGGCATTTCAGTCTCGAGAAGGGCACGTGCGTCAGGGTCAAGGCTTGCAAAACTTCTTTCGGTAACTACTTCCGGAAACGCAGACAGTGCAAGAGACAGTGCATGAGGAAAAACCGGAGTGTCATCAGGAGGCGAAAGAACAAAAAGAGGTCCAAGAGTCGGAGGAGAGGCATCCTCAGGAACGAGTTTAACGGCTAGGTAAGTGACTTAATGTGTTTTATCATCGGCCAGTGTTTGGACAGAAACTATTTTTATGCTTATTACATTCACACACAAGGATGCATTTGGCAGCGTTCAGTTGTTTGCATCTTCTGATGTTTTTGTAGTCCCGCCATAGGGATAAATTGATATAGACCTGGGGGCTGATGTTGATATTTTTGTTGTTACAGACTGCAAGTGGTTCCCCGCCGGAATACCTCTGTTCTCCAAGAAGTGGCACCGTCAGCTTACACGGTCCTGTGACCAGTACGGATGCCCGCGCATCAGGCTCGCTCCTGACCCAAACAGTTTCGCTCAGAAATACGTCACCGTTTGTGTCATCATGAAGCACGCGGGCAAAATATTCGAACTCCATCACAGATTTGGTCATTTTCATATTAAATTTTCTAGTAAATATCATTTCTGACCAATACTACTGACCTCGATCCGTAGTTTCCCCATACGAGGTCTTCATGTGGTGTCCCACGGTCCACAGAGTGGGCCACTAGATTACGTTTACAAATGCATACAAAAGACATGAATGTGGAGCAAATGTAGACAATGTGGTGTTACTCGTATGCACCTAACTGAGAGAGCATACGTCGCTATGCGACGAAACTTGCCTCAAAACATTCTGGAACGCACGCTACCGAGGAGTTCCGAACACTATCCTGTTTAGCTTTTAAAGCCAGACGAACGTCCTCACGACGTTATGTAACCGACACTGGATCCGAATGGATTCAAAGATACCAGGACAATTGGGCAATGAGAATTACGATGACCCTATCATCTCTATGTGACGATAACTTTTAAGTGTTGATCTGGACCAGTGCGAGGGTTCGTGGGGATGCAAGGGTTGCATGCTCGTAGGTGGATCCTAACATTCCATTCCGTACAAATTGATTCTGTAGTAAGCGGAACTATTAGAAATAGACTGCGTGGGTTTGGTGAGAAATCAACTCGCTGATGAGAATAGACTGGAATATTAGGGCTCAGCTACGATACAAAACTGTAACTGTTATCGGCTCGTGATCTTATTTTGTTGTTATTTATGGTTATTTTGAGATATTTATATTTATTGATTTTATTTTTATAAATCGCAAATAAAAACACAAAAAATATAACACACTGCTTTTGTTGTATTATTCAGGATGAGACCAGTATGTTACGACAAAATGTCGAGTTTAAGTTGTAGGTGTCACACATTTATTACACTGTGTTGAGGAAAACAAACGTTTCTCGGAACCTTACTAATCATTACAATCCAAACAGTGTGTAACTCCCTTTATTAAAACATAAACTGCCCGGGAAGAAATGTGCTTGCCCTATTCCACGACCTGTTATCGTAAGAGGCGACTAATGTCGGTGCCCTGTAGAATTCGCTTGTGTCTACTGATTAGGGGGAAATCCATACCCGACTTCCCCATTGCGGCACTCCTATTGGGTTTTTTGGCGCTGTCGACCATGGCTGCGAGGATGTTAAACCACGAACAAACACAAACTGTAGTCCAGATACACTTCCTTGTGACCATTGTGACGTTAGGACGAAGTAACAAGGGAGACAACTTTCTTCCAAATATAGATCTAAGAAATTCTCCAGACGTGTAAGTACTCTCATCCCCGATACTCTAAGGACTAGGGACATTTTCGCTGTGCAGAGAGCGTAACCCCTGGGGTATCGAGGATGAAGTACCACTGGTAGTGAACGACGTTTGGCGTTTTTTGTCATTAATTAAAGAGATCGATAGATAAAGCTACAAGTATATTGATGAAGTTGAGCCCACCGTTTCACCAATAGCTGCCGGAAGCATAGTTTCGCCCAAGACTACCTCTTACGAAGTAAAAACACCAACGGAGCTTGAGATTAATTCCAGCGATCTGTCAATTTTGCTTAAGTTAATTGGTGTGCCAAAAACGATATTATTGCTCATCAAGGCGTTAAACGTCAGTATTGTTTTACGACGTCTGCCTTGACAATTCAACTAGAAATATACGCCAGTATTGTTACATAATGACTAATTGTAGGTTGGAATAAATGCTATGGCGCCCATAAAACCGCCTGTTAGCTTATTTTTTACAATAACATCGCCATACTCTACCTCTAAAGGCATGGTATAGGTACTACATTCTGCAATAATGACGCACTTTCATTTCTAAATATAGGTAGTAACGGTAATTTATTATATTACAATATCAGGTTCGGTACTAAAGTTACGACGTAGTACCGTTAGCGAGGACACGTGTTACACTAATCTGCAGTAACCTGTCGTAGAGGTTGTCCAGCTCTTGAGACACGGAGGTATTGACACGGGTGTGTGTTTTGTACCAGTCGTGATAACCAATATATATGTAGGTCACATCCTCAACTAGTTTACATTACATCTAGGTTATTATCAAAAACGTAAATATTGACATGTGATCTGATAAAAGCTTGATTGACGACCCTTGTTCGGTAAGGATTACTTGTTTGTTTTATATTGTTTTAAGACCGGTAATTTGAGGTTACACGTACCATCAGTTAAAAAATATTACCACTGTAACTGTAGAGTATTCCATATAGATATTGTTTTGCGAGTAGTTTACAGAACTATAATCGTTTAAAAATTGAGAATTTAAACGAACATTTAATATAAACAAAACACCTCAGAGGTCGAACTTAGGACTTCCCATTGCCAATCATACACTTTACCGTTGGTGCTGTCCAGAATACATAGCCTCAAAATGAGAGATTATTAACTTTCAAGGGAAGTAACTCTTAAGCCTGAAAAAATGCGTTTTGTTGCTTCATAATTTCGATAGACGGGAGAAAAAAACCTCAGAAGAAGAAGTCTTTTTCGCGATTATATCTCGTGCATTGTAACCCTTAAACTCATTTTGGGCTAAATAACTAAGTAGAATAAGGTGTTCACAAAACGGCATCACAATGATATCGATATCGTAACACAAAACGGCATCACAATGATATCGTTACACAAAACAGCATCACAATGAATCGTAACACAAAACGGCATCACAATGATATCGTAACACAAAACAGCATCACAATGATATCGTGACACAAAACGGCATCACAATGATATCGTAACACAAAACGGCATCACAATGATATCGTAACACAAAACGGCATCACAATGATATCGTAACAATTTTCCCACTAGTTTCAAAGTCGTATATCTAAAGATCGAATTAATTTCTAATTTGTTCAAAAGGTATTATAATTTGGATGAAAAGCTGGGTTTTCTGGACTTTATAAAGCTGGAAAGCAGAATGTAGAGATAATTTTGTTCAGTTATCAATGAGTACTGGCTCATCTAATCAGTCAACAAAAAGCCTCGCGGTAGGTGATGTACAAAAAACACCCCGAAACAAGGAGAACCTTCTGGTGATGAATTTGATCAAACACCTCTAAATAATTGAACCATAATCAGGTTTAGGTCGATTATAGATCGGTATTGACGAAACAGCGCGTCGCGTTTTGTTCCACAATCTGAATATTAAGAGCCTTAGGAAATATTTTTGAAATTATAAAAGACGTTAAAGGGCTAATGTTGAATCATAAACAATGTGGATAATTACGGTTTTAAGATTTGGCAAATTTATAGCAATTTTAATAATTTACTAAGACACCGTTGTAGTTCTCTCTGTATAGAAGGCATATCTTCAAATCTAATAACTCGACTACAAAAAAAGACGCATGATTAGGTAACAATGTCGTGTGCATGTTACCTGAGGCTGATGACGAGATCAACGCTTTTAAATGTGACAATACAGGTGCGATACCGAAGTAACAATCATGTCCAGGTAGAGGCGCTGATAACCCCTGGCTGGTGGGGTGTACTTTAACGATACCGAACTTTCTTTTTCAGCGAACATTGAACACAAATGTCGAGTATTTTTTGTTATTCACAGTATCACATACCTGAAAGTACAACTACCAATACATGGCATTGATTGGACCAGTAAAAGCTGTCAGATATGATCGACATTCCTGTACCTGTTCACAACTGTTTAGGACACACAGCAGAAACCAAAACAGACCTACACGAAAGTTCAAGGTCAAGCGATAACGCGCATGACCCCAGTTGTTGTTAAAATGCCAACGGAGAGAGGACACATGTACGAGCCGAGACCTGCCGTGTAACCCGACATCTTACCGGTAACCATTTCAGGTTGATTTCGAATTTTAATTAACTGTTACTCTATTTTTTTCTTATTTTATTTATTAACATCAATGTATTAGCTCAAATCATGAAGTGATCTCCGTTTCATGCTAGAATACATCTTCAGTTCGCCCGTTGACAAATATATACGTTTTAAGTATATGTTGGATAGATGTTAATGATATACAAACGGTAGAAACAATCAGCCCTCAGACACGGTGCTAATGACCTCAAGGCATACCCGCTACTGTTTGGCCGTTAGATTAGAAGAAATAAACATGTTTTCATTGACTGGGAAGTTGACCTGTATCTAACCCACATTAGATTAGACGGACATCGTGCCGGCTTTATTACAGCATATCTATTCCAGATACGGGCGCCGGATACAGGTGTCAGTTAATTACAGAATCTTAAATTTGACCTTGACCGTTTCAAACGTCCATTTTAACAGGTAAACACTGGACCGAACTTGGCCATGTATGAAGGGATTCGGCGCCCTCATCGTTGGTTTTAGGTGTGGAATCATCGGGTTAACCCTGGCTTCGGGAGGGGAAAGGTCCTGAAATAAGGCGAGGGGAAAAGGAGATAAAGACCGGTACCTCGGAGTTATGTGTAGTTTTTGTTATCAATACTACTATGGCTATAGTTGTCACTTGTTAAACCTCTTCACTCGTTAATAAAGTCAATTTCTCAAGTACAGCTGTTCTTTCATCTGACGTCACTGATCAATCTGTCACGTACAGCTGTTCTGTCATCTGACGTCACTTATTAATATGTCACATACAGCAGTTCTGTCATATGACGTCACTTATCAATATGTCACATACAGCTGTTCTGCCATCTGACGTCACTGATCAATATGTCACATACAGCAGTTCTCTCATCTGACGTCACTTATCAATATGTCACATATAGCAGTTCTGTCATATGACGTCACTTATCAAATTCTCACGTACAGCTGTTCTGCCATCTGACGTCACTGATCAATATGTCACATACAGCAGTTCTCTCATCTGACGTCACTTATCAATATGTCACATACAGCTGTTCTGCCATCTGACGTCACGGATCAAACTGTCACATACAGCTTTTCTGTCATCTGACGTCACTAAACAATCTGTAACGTACAGCTGTTCTCTCATCTGACGTCACGGATCAATATGTCAGGTACAACAGTTCTGTCATATGACGTTATTGATTAATGTGTCATGTACAGCTGTTCTGTCATCTGACGTCACTTATCAAACTGTCACGTACGGCAGGTCTGTTATCTGACGTCACTTATCAAACTACTAGGAACAAAATCACAGAATAGCAAAATTGGTGCAAAAAAACAGCTGAGGTCATCGCAAGATCATAGGACGACGGTGTCTACAGGCTTATAATTGATGTCCTACATGTCATAGGGAAACGATGTCTACTGTTTGACGTCACTGTCATCTGACGTCACTTATCAAACTGTCACGTACGGCAGGTCTGTTATCTGACGTCACTTATCAAACTACTAGGAACAAAATCACAGAATAGCAAAATTGGTGCAAAATAACAGCTGAGGTCATCGCAAGATCATAGGACGACGGTGTCTACAGGCTTATAATTGATGTCCTACAGGTCATAGGGAAACGATGTCTACTGGCTAAAAAAATGATGTCTCCTCAAGGTCACAGGACGACGGTGTCCACAGACTAACAACTGATGTCTCCTACAGGTCATAGGGAAACGATGTATACAAGCTAAACAATGATGTCTACTCAAGGTCATAGGACGACGGTGTCCACAGACTAACAACTGATGTCTCCGCAGTTCTGTCATATGACGTCACTTATTAATATGTCACATACAGCAGTTCTCTCATCTGACGTCACGGATCAATATGTCAGGTACAACAGTTCTGTCATATGACGTCACTTATTAATATGTCACATACAGCAGTTCTCTCATCTGACGTCACTTATCAAACTGTCACGTAC